CATACACGATTGCAATTTATATCTCACGAAGTTTTACTTTGTTTATTTCGAACTGGCTCTCTCCTGGGGTTTTACTCATGTATTCTATTTCTACACGAGCAATATGTCTACCCTACAGGTTCCCATTACAAGGTCATATGAAATACTTAAATACGTAAAAGACAACTCATTCAACAGCCCGTAATAAACCAAGGGTGGACTGAGACCCTCCTCCCTTTTCTTATTATCCCGAAGAAAATACTTGTTACAAACTTAGACAATACCTAACACTGTTATAAGCAATCCAATCTTCAGAACAAGATTCCCAATGGGATGGTCATCCAAAAATAGATAGGACATTCTCTGCAGTTGTTACTTAGCCGCAAGTTTGTCTAGCAAAATGATATTCGCATAAATATTACTGCCAGGATATGGTAGATTGCCAAAAAACTTGGCAAAACTTTTTCAATAATCTTAGCCGTTTTCCTAACACATATCTCTTGTGTTTGCCCTTCAGTTATACGTTCTAGTTAGCGCAGCTATTACTCAAATGGTTGCGGCTTACGGATCTATTTGGACCTTGACAATTATCCTGACAAATAGGATCTTATGTCTTACCTCCTTTACGTGTGCTATAGAGTTAATTAACTTAGATACAAAAGTGTTAGTTTTGCAAAAGAGCTTTGTAATTACAACAAACATCTGTACTGATTTCAAAAAACACATTTTTGACAACGAAATACTAAAATTCAAAATTTATTATATATGTTAATCAGGCAATTTGGTATGAAATGCCAACGACTTCTCAAAATGCAAAAATTAAATGTTCGCCTCTGTCTCCTTAGTGAGTCACTTTGTTTCAAGAAACATTAAATACTTAATCGCATCATGGGAAAAGCCTTGAAGTAGGTCTTTTAGACCCAGACAGGCTAATGATGATGCGACGATGATGACAAACTCAAAACAGTGTAATAAACAAACAACAGGTCTAATTTTAATAGTGCAGACAATTTTTTATCATATCACTCCAACTAAAAACTCAATGAGAACCAAAAAACTGTTAGTTCAAACTCAACGACCGAAACTTACTTAACACAATTTTTGCCGCCATTTTTTCCCGCCATGATGTAAGCGAGGTCGTCGCCCCAACACCTGTTGCTTATGTTTTTTTTTAATCATGTCTGCGTTGGGCACTGGTCTATTAAGTATTAAGCACTTAGTTTTTATTATAACCTCTTAGTTCATTATTGATTTGTGGTCAGGGAAACGTATTGCGTTAGTTGGTGGTCGCAGATGGCACAGAAAATGGGCTAGTAAAAAATCTTTAGTATTATTTTACTGAACTCCTATACGTCGAGCAATAAAAAAATATATTCAAAGGAATGTACAAATGTTTTACTAACAAAACTACGAACAATTCGGTTGGCTTTTTTTAAAGTCGTAAAGAAAGTTCGGATCATCTCCTCTGCTGGATTTAAAGTAAAAGTTGAAGGCTTTAGAGAGATAAAAGCGGGGTTTGTAACCGGCAATCGATCCATATCCCCATGAAAAGGGGATTTGGGAGTTTCTCAAAGTATAGATTCACCTTGTGAGATATACGGGGAACTTTGGAAGTGTACAGTCAACACAAAACTAGTTCTGATCGCTTGGTGCTATGCAGAAGGAAAAATAGCAAAGTTTTTGTAAAATTTTCGTTGTCTCGGAATATTCAAATCTAATTTCTATTCATCATTATCTTCGAAGGCATAACAATAAAACTTATAGAATTGTTGAACTAAAACTGTGTTCTTAGTCAATCACTAGGTTTTAGTTTCGTTGCCTTGGTCAGGTTCATTCTTAATATGTTTTTCGGATGACAAATATATTCTCAGTCTCAGTAGTAGCGTAGAAGTAGTAGTATGACTCTTTGTTTCCGGATTCAAGCTATTCCCATTTTAGTTGTTATTTTACACAAGACATGTTACATAACAGATAAAAAGTATTGCATAATAGGGTAGTTTCCTAAATTTTATTTTAATGTCCGTCTGGTACATTAATTTTAAACTTTAGACACGTATTTTTTCTTTTCTCACAAAATTAAATACTTTCGACGATATATTAATTTGAAATATCGTGTGACGTCACAGCGTGCAACATTTTGTAGCACGTTATGACGTAAAAACCTCCCACTCCTAAATTTAACTCCGTTTTATCTAAGTATTGTTTTGTAAAACGACAAAATAAAAAAATACGTCTCTAATATTTTTCCATTATCTAACTGACGGACTAATTAGATTTTAATTTGATACCCTGGAAACTACCCAATTATGATATATGAACCTCAATTTCGCCTTTTGAGAAAAGTAGAACATGATATCATTTTATCTTGCAAAAAAATGGTAAATACATATTTGGTAACATAATATAGTAATTTCTTGATTTCAAGTAAATGACGTTCATTACGACGATGTCTTCATCATAATAGTAAATAATAAACCAATTTACATTACAAACAAAAAATTACAAAAAAAATATCGTTTTTGTATACAGACGCTTGCAGGTTGATCTACTCTTATCTAAAAAATTTCGTTATATTTTCAACTTAAACACTGAAGGATAAAGTTGGAAATCTGTTATAGAAATTAGGAGTAGGATGACGTGCCGTGTCTCCATGCCACCACGCTTGATCTCGTGTGTACGGTCAGGTTGTTGCCATATCAGATTTCAAAACATCCTTGAGTTCACACAGTCTTTTATTTTTTACTATCACTTCTTTTGGTTTTGGAACACTTCACTGATCCTTGGAGTGAAGATGGATGGCGTTTTTAATAATTTTGCTTTCATAATCTTATTTTGACAATAGTTTAATAACTTATCCGTTTAATAATGATATCGGGGAAAATAATACTTAGAAATAGGCATTAATTGACAGCTAACAACATCAAGTTTGTGATTCAGAGTCATATCACTAAGTTTCAATAATAATGAAATATCGCATAGCCTTTTTTTTATTTCAACCCCACACCAAATACACAAACCCTTAACAAGGCCCAACAAAATACCTCATCCACAACCATCAGTCCTGAGTCCTGTCCTCACAAACTACAACGAAATAAAGCTGTCCTATCACGCGCCACAAAACATTGCGATAAGCTGCACTGCCATAAAGACCCCTCTTCAAGTTAGTTTTTAACCACGTCCAATCTAAGAGTATGATCTCTTTACATCGACGCTTTCGGAGGCTCTTCCAAGTTCACTTTTATGAGTTTTTAAGTGGCCATTATGACGATAGAAGGCCGAACTTAATGTCTCTATGCTGAGACCACGGTGCACAGAGTCGTGCACGGAAATATTCTTGTGCTGCGTTTAGATTGTGTTTTTCTAGTTTAAGGCGAGTGTGATTTTGTTATTGGTTGGTAGCAAGGTGGGCAAAGTTCTATACTCTTTCTCAATGTAAGTTTTAGTTATTCTAAATCTTCTATGCTTTTCATAATGCGACGCTTCTCCAAGTCCTCAAATCTTTTCCTTGTATCATAATAATTGTTTTTGTTCGCAAAACGTTCTCTACGAATGTCGACAATTATTACTTACTACTTTTGTTACTTGTAATAGACACATTACATATTATTTTTATTTGTAAAGAATGTGTTTATTTAGTAAAGCGTCACCACAAGCAACCGTGTTACGCGTATTATGTCACAAAATAAAAGATTACATCAATAACGTGCACGCATTTGTAATCATTAATCACAAAGAAAAAGTACCTGTCCGTTTGAGCCCCTGCTTTTGTCTTTATTGATTCCAATTAGTTCCCGATGACTAATAGTGGTTCTGTTTACTGGCGCGAGTTACTCGACTGATACAAATGCGCCTTAAACAAGTTTAAAGTATGAAATGTCTTCCAGGATGTGGTGACTCTGTAATTTTTTTTTTTACTCTGTGCCGCTGATGACACGAAATTGTTAGGTAACCTGATAGTTAATGTCATAAAATAACTACTTACTGTATTGTAAGTTTCGTGAGAATATTTCTAAACGAACATTTGACACTTGGATACGACAATTCGCTCGTTAGTACGACTGATTGTTTGTGATCATGATAACTGGCGCTCGTTTTTCAATTAACCTCTTTTCCATGTAATATTTGTCAGATTTCCCAACTTAGTCGCCTATTAGGGTGATCATCATCTTCGCGTTTTGTTTTCTCACTTTCTAAGTGATTTTGAATGTTTACATGATTTACTAAATTGTAGAAACAACAACACTTGCAGAAAATTAGGATTCATTCAGAATTGGTCATTTAGGAGTCGAAACTGGACCGCATTAATGCTGTAGTATTAGCAAAAAATTGGCTTACTTGCTAAGGTGACACGTCTTCACCGCTACGATATACCAACCATCAAAACAAAACCATCGCTATATTTAAAAAAATAAACTAAACATGGCCGCCACAAGGCCAGGGGTACAAACTACATAATAAACTCAATATGACAAATGAACTGCGTATTAATTTCCCTGTCAATACTAGGGGAGCACGGCTGCTTAATTTTTCACGCCTACGCGAACAACTACCAATAATAAAACTAATGTATTTCCTCCCTTCCCTCCTTGAAATAGAATTCATTATCGCATAATTTCACAAATTACAATACCGAAACCATTATATAAATGTCTTTAATGTTTGTTTATTTTTATTTTTGTACTTAGGGTCGAAATTACCTTGAACTTCATTATGTAAAGTTACGCAAGTTTGGTGGCAATAGAAACATTTTGCGCCTTACAAACATTTTGTACTGCGTAAACAAGCGTTTGTTCTGTAAACACTGTTCCTTAACTCTTTTCTTAATTCTATGACGTACATACCTCAGCTGTACACAATTTCAAACTTCAGTTTACTACAAAGAATTTCTGTGAGACTTTATGAAAGACTCAGAACATTATAAAACAGAACATAACACAAGGAACTATTACATAAAACGCAATTTACTTTGGAGGTTATAATGTCTAATTTTGCGTTAATCTTTTTTTTTTATTTGTTTATAGGTCCATAGAAGTATGGTTGAAGACTGGACGTCTTCACAGCGAGATCCTGGCTGAACAGAAACTTAGCGAGGGTCAGCTTCGGAAACCGGACTCGACCATCATATTCTGGTTGAAATGCGAACAGGTAAAAAGTCTTATAGATTTTTAATTGATATAATAGGTACGCATAATTAACTCGTCGAGTACCGTCATTATAGACACAATTATAGAACAATAGGTTGCGGTCACCGGTGACCGCTTGGTGTTTGACAGTTTAAGCATTCGCTAAAGGTCGTCCCACGCCTAACAAGTACGGCTCCAACACGGCTCCAACACGGCTCAAACTCAGTAATGTCATTGTCATTTAAATATTTACTTTATGTCGTATGACATATTCCACAGTGTCAATACGAAAAAGCTGTAAGCGCGCCGTCCGCGCGCCGCCCACGCTCCTAATTCCTCTTCAAAATCCTGGACAAATTCAAATGTAGACTTTGGTGACTATGGGATCTAGCAATAATATTTTATTCACTATATTATTGTGGAATCTCGATTCTGGATACCTATGCTACTGATTCTGACTCACTCTACTAATCACTTTCTTAAAAAACAAAGAAAGCGTCCGTCACTAAAAAGTTTTTATAAAAGTCCCAACCCCCCAACGACAGGTGTCGCTGAATTAAACACATTATAATAATTATTAAACACGGCGCTTCCTGCGTTCCCTACAATTTATTATGGTCGCATGGATAGCGCGCATTTTCTTATAATTGCCAGTCATTTGTCCACTGTTTTTATTGTATTTCGTTAATCAAAATTGCGTCACGTAGACGAAAGTAATGATTTTTGACATTTAGTTCTAGTGCCTCCGTTTTTTTTACTATACCGCTTACCGCTAAAGGAACTATTTTACTTCTATCAGGACTCGCTCTCTTATAACACGTCCCATCAAAACATTGTCTATATTGGGTGAGGTGGGAGGGTGAGGGAGTGTCAGGCTCTTACTGACTAAAAACCACCCCGTTCCGTCTCCTGCACTTCGAGCCGGAGCCCCGGCAACCCGTTAGGTTCTCCGCGACAAGAAGAAAATGATAGAAGTAATTCATGGGACACTCCTGTTAAATTATAAAGTGTTTAAAAAAGTCCTAAAGTGTGCAATTTATTGGTAAACTTTAGTATTTTTTAAGTTTTAGTACATTCCTATACCGAAGGTTTTATTTCACATTCCTTTCATCGTAGACTACGTATTTAAATAAAGGTACAAATAAGTTGGCGTCCAATTAATCCTGGTAACCAACCAATAAACTATACTAATAGTATTCATGACATTTCTAATACACCTTTATCTATTAAGATCTAATAAATTACTACATCGAAGAAAATAAAACAAAAAAACACTCATACGTTCCGTCTAACAAGTTCTAAAGGATTGAAAACGCGACAAGCTGCGTTTAAAGTAAACACGCGCGTTAACGTTTAGCACCTGAACTTAGAAAATGAACAAATGAAGCCTGCATCCGAAGTGCGATTATCTAAATGCATTAATTACTGTATCCTCACCACTCATACGTATGAAATAAACAAGTTATTTGTAAACTAAACACATCGATATTTTAATGCGGCATGTGCAAGGGTTGGACTTCGTAGCTCCCTTCGCCCCGACTTTTAATATACAAATAATCCAGAAGATACACTCGTCATAATACTTGGATGGAATGACTGCAGTTCTAATAAATACATTGTCTTAGTTTTTTTAATTGTTTGTCAATGTGAATAAGTGTGGGAGAGCCTGCTCGACCGGAGTGATACCACGGCCTCACAGAAATCCGACGTGAAGCAACGCTTGCGTTGTGTTTCCTCGTGTGAGTGAGGTTACCGTAGGCCCAATTACCCTCCCCTTCCCCAATCTCCCCAATTCCTAAATCCCCAACGATCCTCAAACTTCTAATTCTCTAAAAGGCTGGTAACGCACTTGTAACGCCTCTGGTGTTCCAGGTGTCCATGGGCGACGCCGATTGCTTACCAAAATTAAAATATTAAAAAACTGAATGACAACCGAATGTATCGTAAGTCAAATATTGTTTTCGTAATATTGAAAGGCGCCTATAGAAATTCTTCTTGAATTCCAAAACCCTAATATTTTCTTCCTTACTCAGGCAAGCACCGTTAATTAATCAAATCCAACACATAAAATTACGCAGTAACACTTCTGCATCTCCCTGCGTACATTGACGCAGATGCGCCGACGCAGCACCTGCCAATCTCGGCGTGCGCGCAGGTGAAACTGTGTTTACGTTTTTTACAACCCTGCGCATCGACCTCCGCGAACGAGCGATTAATAACGTTACTTTGTTGCTGTCTTGTTTGGTTTAATTGAGAATTTAGGGTTGATACAACATATGGCCTTTTGCTCTTGTCCATCGATGTGACGTGAAATGACGTCAATTGTCACAATTTTGACAGAGGTGGGTAACCATGTTGAAGGTATTTTAAAGGTGTTAAAAATTCTTCGGTCGTTGTTTTAATAATTGAATATACGTCCAGGGGCAAGTATATTGGACAACCAATAATAGGTAGACGCCTTGCCTCTAAGCCTCTGAGTGACTGAAAATGAATCGTTGTAATAAATAGTAGATAGATAGTTTCTGTCTCACTCTATTGTAAATTAAGTGTGACGTTTCGTTCTCGAGAGAGAAATGTATTTTTTCTCTCTTTATATATAAAAAGTGTGTTAAAATAAGAAATATGAATTTAATTGCATAATATTTATAATAATTTTTAACATACATAAATGAACATGGCTTTGAAACCGATTATGCGTTTCTTTCGTATAGCTTATGATTGAATTGAATGATTTATAGCGTCCAATGTATGTGTAGTTCGACAAAAACAGGTGTTATAATGGCATTATTATAGATTGATTCAAATTTGCTGTAATTCTTAATATCCACTATCTACAATATCAATTAATTTGCAGTGAAAGTAAAAGAAAGTTAAATGTCAAATTATTTTCTTTTTACCTAGGTATATACGCATATACATTTCAAATTGGCTGAATGAATTACGAACTGCGCACATGAAGTAGGATAGTCTAATTATCAATATTTCACTTTTGATAACTGAAACATGTTTACTCGGAAATAGAAATATAACGAGATACACCTGGCTTAATTAATATTTTTTTTTAGAATACCCTATCACGCAAGGGCGGCGTCGTATCTTAACTAATTCGCATTTGGCGCTAGTAGTAGCTGTGTAACCTCTTTAATAGTGCACCTTTAGCGGTATAGTCTGTGGCGCAGCCATTAAAAATGCTAATGTCATTGAGCTCCCAACTTCGGTGTTACAAGCTCAACACGGGTGCACCGGCGATTTTTTTTTTCAATATTTAGTTTCGTTTATATTTAATTTACATTTTTTATCCTGAGTTCTTTGCAAAATGTTGCGGTACTTATGTTTTAAGCAAAAAGCACATAATTATGGGGACATGATTATGTGCTTTTGCTAGATAGGGAACTGCAACATAGGGAGGGATCCCTATCTTGCAGTTTGCAGTTGCTTGGCGTACAGGGTTTGCCTGTTAAAACAAAATCTTTTGTGTTGTCGTATGTATGTAGAAGACTTTCTATTTATGATACATGCATTCGGAAAAATTAAAGGCGTCTAGTGTAGGCACAGGGGCGTAAAACATTTTTTCGACGTCCTAAGAAGTAATTAAGACATTCAAAGCATAGTTTTAAAAATAAAATACCATACTAACAATTTTATAACACCATCATCGACTCACGGCGCATACGCAAATTTCACGTGTCACGTGACATTCCCGATATAGGCACAACAACACGGACAGACAGACGGCCACTTTTTACTCGTTTTCTAAGCAGATGCAGATGGTCAGTTATAATAATTTACTCGCATAGATGAGAACAGGTGTCTTCTAATATAACTTTGCATTTGTTTTAATTTTTTATCAATATATTTCATTTATTTTGTGCTTAACTTAGTGCGTAGTTTTAAATGACTTGGCGTCTTTTTCCTTTTTTATGTTTTGTTACTTTGTTGTGTGTAGTTAGTACAGATCTTTACTGCGGTTTCACTCGCTTCTTCATGTTCCGAAGTTGCATCTGTTGCAAGTTTCAACTAGATGTCAGATAGCCTATCTTTGTGATGGGGTAAAAGTAAAGAAACCCGTCAAATGAGTAAACATTACTATGAGCCCCTAGCGTGGCTTGAAAATAGTCAAGTTACCTTGTAAAGCTCTTTGGTCAACGAGCCGTTGACATAACCATAACTTTAATCTATGTATCCTAATTAGATTGAAATATATTATAATTTTGTTTGTCTATCCTAACAAAGTCCCTGAATGCGCTAACGGCCTTGATTTCTAAACACGATTAGCTATTTCCGAATTAGCAACAGCTTATCACTTTGTGGTCCTAATTCTAGCTAGTTATTAATTAATGCATTCACCCAATCGTGCCTATTACAGTGTAATTAAGTCAATAATTGTCGAAATATTGATAACGGCACTATTAATGGGTGTAGACTGTCTGTCACAATGTTTAGTGCTTACACATGTAGCCATCCTAGGCATTCGATAAAGTCTGCTACTCATAAAGTAAGCTGCGCGACATCGCCGCGACCGCGCACGCTGCTCATGAGGAAGAGTCCCTCTGTGACTCGAAACTAGTAGAGCTTTTCTCAATGTATTTACGTGAGAAACTCGTAATTTTTAGTTAATTCAGCATGTCTCACAATAATACTCATAAAAAAATAAATAAAGTGTTTTATGATATTAGTTGAAAAGAAATACAATATGGAATGAAATAAATAAACAAATCAAATTAAACCACTCGTGAATAAAATCTTAATAGAAGTAGTTTTATTATTATTTTTAAATAAAGTCGCATAGCAAAATGCAATTAATTGAAATAATCTATGTATTTAGTTGAACACCAAGCATTTACAAATGTGATAATATAAATTACGAACCATAATACCAGTGCATCACTTCATCGATTGCTTTTAAAAATCTTAAACATATATCTTTAATAGCGCAAGGTGCGCACACGCAACTTTAACACAAGCTAACTATACTTAACGCCTAAACAACACACCTGTAGTAATTTCTTACTTTTAATTATA